CTCCGCCTCTGTCCGAGTGCAGACGCATAACAGGAAAGTCCGAGCCGAAGCTCTTCTTGAGCTGGAGACGAGCCTCGCGGATCCAGTCGATCAGCACCTCCGTGACCGCACCCTTGCTGCGCAAGGGGAGGACTGTGGTGTAACGCGAGTAGTCGTCAACCACCAACAGGAAGTAGCGCTCGTGACCCTGCCCACGGACGGGGGCTGGGCCCCACACATCCATGTGAAGCGTCTGCAGGGGAGCCTCTGTCAGGGGGAAGTGGGAGGAGTGAGGAGTAGCCCGGAGGCAACCCTCGACACAGGGGACACAGGAAGGTCCTGGCCCGGAGGGGAGAGGAGGGAGAGACTGGGGAAGACCAGAGACAAGGACACGGGAAGCCATGCTCCGAAGACGGGGCAAGGAGGGGTGGCCAAGACGGTGGTGCCACAGGAGAGTCTCGTGAGACAGGAGGCGACAAGAATAGGGGGCAGACTCAGGACCTGACCGGGACGCAGCAGCAAGCACCTGACCTGACGCAGCCACCTGACCAGACGCAGGGACAGGAGGAGACTCAACGGTCAGGGTGTAGAGACTCGACCCCGGCCGACGCGAGAACGTGGCCAGGTGTCGGCCTGTGCGTGCCTCCGTGCAGTGGGTCACCCGCTGACTCGCAGGAGTGAACTGGTGAACCCCCACATCCTGCAGGTCCGCTCCACTCACCAAGTTCGTAGAGAACGAGGGAAGGTACAGACCAGACAGGGTGCCCGAAGGGGCAGCCGGACACGGGAGGACAGTGGAGAAGTGAGACAGGACAGGACCCCCAGAGGGGTCAGCAAGGGAGACCGCAACCGGCCGGCCGAGCGGCGTAAGGGTAGTGCGGTCTCGAAAGAAGGAGCGAGAAGCCCCGGAGTCAAGTGTGAAAGTGAGGGAGGACGAGGACGACGCAGTACCTGAGAGCGCAGTCTCACCAGTACCTGAGAGCACAGACGCACTGGCACCTAGAGCAGCAGCCTCACAAGCACCTAGCGCAGCAGTACCAATGCCCGGGTCGGGCTGGAAACACCGGTTACCCTCATTCTCCTCACTATAATCCACAGCATACATAGCAGCAAGGATAGCATCAAAATCAAGATCAAAGATTGCTACACCAGCCCTAAGAAGCTCATCCCAGCGAGGGATCTCACTAGCCCCAGGGAACTGCTGACGCCAAGCGTCCGTCAGGCGGCCAAAGCAGCGCTGGGTGGCGTGGGCACCCCCACACTGCTCACCCGCGCGGTCGCCGGAACGAAGAACGTAGGTGCAGGGACCAGTACCCCCACCCCTCTGACGCCCAGCGTACCACTCACGAAGCTGCTGAGGCGGAGGGATGTCCCGCGAGCGCTGCTGCTGCTGCCGCTGCGAGCGCTGGCCACCACCACCGCCGCTACGCAGCTAGGTACCACCCCGACCAGCTCCACCTCCTCCACCACCACCGCCTCCTCCGCTGCCGCCTCCACCGCCTCCACCTCCGCCGCCTCCACCTCCGCCGCTGCCTCCACCACCACCGCTAGCACCACCACCACCGTCTCCGCCGCTGCTGCCACCACCACCACCACCCCCGCCACTAGTCCCGCCGCCACCCCCACTCCCTCCGCCGCCACCGCCGCCACCGCCACCGCCCCCTCCAGCTCCACCCGCGCCCTTGCCCCCCTTGCCCTTGCTAGAGCGACGTCTCCCACTAGGGGTAGACGCCGCGCCGACCGACTCAAGACCAAGCAGGTCGGCAGCAGCAGCAGAGGCAACAGAGGGCAGCAAGGGGGAAGGAGAGCACCCCTCAAAGATGGGGGTGCGAGGGTCACCACGAGAAGCACCTACAGCGACTATGCTCTTCTCCGCTGCGAGGAGGGCCTTCTCGAGGAGGTCGACGGTGAGGGTGGTGGGACAGAGTGCGAGAAAGTGGTCCCTAACGACGCGAAGGGAGTCAGGGAGGCGCGCGACTACGTAGTAGAGAGCGATGTACATGGGGGGTGGGTTCTTAGCGCAGAACTCAGCAGGAAGGGCGGCGCGGTAGCGAGTGTCACTAGTGCGGAGGTGCGTAATGAGGTCAGCAACAGTGGGAAAGGCAGAGAGGTCAGGAAAGAGGTAGGGAAGCATGAGACGGCTCAGTGCAGCAGTGGCAGGGGAGGAGTAGCGCGCAACTACAGCGTCGTACAAGGTCTGAGCACTCTTGTACTGACTAAAGTGCGCACGCTCAGAGGTAGGGAGGTGGCAACGCACAGCAAGACGTGCAGTTGCATCGCGGGTGGCCCACTGAGAGCGGACAGTGGGATCAGCATCAGCAGCAGGAGCAGGAGAGGCGCCAGAGGTGAGGTCAAAGAGAGAAAGGTCGTCAGCTCTGTCGCACTGTAAGAATAGTTGCAGGTCGTCCAACCAGACCTCAAAATCAATGGCGCAACCCTCAGCGTCAAAAGCTAGGACACTAGGGGTAGCCATGGCGACGACAGCGACGAAGTGCAAGCAGTAGGGAAAGAGCTCGCAGTGACAGTGGGACTGTGCTTACCAGGCAGGGCAGGTCGTGCAGCTCTGCAGAAAGGCGGCTCAGGTGCACAGCGGCTCGGCTCCCGGGCGGCTCGGCGGCAGGGCGGCTCGGGTGCAGGGCGGCTCGGCTCCCGGGCGGCTCGGCGGCAGGGCGGCTCGGGTGCAGGGCGGCTCGGGTCCCGGGCGGCTCGGCGACTGGGCGGCCCGGGCATTGGGCGGCTCGGCTCCCGGGCGGTTCGGCTGCACTGCTGCCCGACTGCTGCAGGTGTGGCGGCGGGGCCGCGTGAGAGAGCCGAGGCGGGGACGCGTGAGGGCCGGCGGCGGGGCCGCGTGAGAGCCGGGGCGGGGCCGCTTCAGAGCCGGCGGCGAGGCCGCAAGAGAGTCGGGGCGGGGCCGCTTCAGAGCCGGTGGCGGGGCCGCAAAAGAGCCGGCGGCGGGGCCGCTTGAGAGCCGGGGCAGGGGCCGCGTCAGGGCCGGCAGCGGGGCTGTAAGAGAGCCGGCGGCGGGGCATGGAGAGAGCCGACGGCGGGGCCACGTGAGAGCCGGGGCGGGGCCGCAAGAGAGCCGGCGGCAGGGCCGCGTAAGAGCCGGGGCAGGGGCCGCGAAAGAGCCGGGACGGGGCCGCGAGAGAGCCGTCGGCGGAGCCGCGTGAAAGCCGGGGCGGGGCCGCGCGAGAGTAGGCGGCGGGGCCGCGTAAGAGCCTGGGCGGGGCCGCGACAGAGCCGTCGGCGGGGCCGCGTGAAGGCCGGGGCGGGGCCGCGTAGGAGCCGGGGCGGGGCCGCGTGAGAGCAGGCAGCGGGGCCGCGAAAAGGCCAGGGCGGGGCCGCGAAAAGGCCAGGGCGGGGCCGCGACAGAGTCGGCGGCGGGGCCGCGTAAGGGAGGGCGGCGGGGCGGCGTCAGTGGAGGCGGCTGAGCTGAAGGGGAAAAGGCGACCCGAGGGGTCGCTAAAAAAAAATCGCGCCTCGGGGCGCGCTTCGGTGGGCCCAAAAAAACGGTCCTTAGAAGGACCCGCTCTATACCATGTGAGAATAAACGAACAGGAATGAATGAACTAGCAGTGAAATGAGTACAAGTAGGAAACCCTAGAATTGTGAACCCCCTATAGGCTAACCCACTGTAGCCTACACAAGCACAACATATATAATGTTTGACAGTAACTGCTGGAGGTTACGCGAAAGTCAAAGGTCAGCGACCTTTGACTTGACAAGTACAGCGCGACAGCAACGACACACAACTGACTCACTACAGAGCAGTTGCCCGAGTCGTCACTGTATCGAACCGCAACAGCAACAGTAAAACAGTTACCGTATCGCCCCGGATATAGGCGCCGTCCTATCTGGAGCATGGCGCCTATGGCCGGAATTCGATTATAAGCGCCCCCCCTAGAAAACCTTTACTTATTATAAACGCATATGCGATTTGAATTTTAATTCTTGCCTAAAACTGTAACGAAATCCATTTTTGCAGCGAGTCAGATTTCAATTTCGCTTCGTTCGACTCGTGAAGACCTGACTGGCTGCGCGTCTAGTCAGGATGTGCTGGAATGACGTGGCTTTGCCTGTGTGTGAACCCAGAATATCGCTTGTGCGAGATTCTGCATTGTGACGCTAAAACATTTCGACTCGGTTGAAATGGCAAGAAGAAAATGAACAATTTGGTGCTCTAAAATTATAATTTCATATTTGTCATTATATAAGCGCCGGCGCTTATGGCCGTTACTCAATTACAAGCGCCCCCCCTCAAAAAAATGATTTTATTTTAAGCGCATATGCGCCTATATCCGGGGCCATACGGTATAACCTTATCCTTTCATATTCCTTGTACTCCTATATAATCTTGTATCTCTTTGTTTTAATCAACTTACTTTGCCCTCACATACTAGCGCAAGGTGGTTCACAATCTCTTCAAAACGCTTCCGCTATTACATTTATACTACCCAGAGTTCACCCCTGCAAAGATCCTAAGGGCTTTTCTCAGCCCAACACATTACTAGTATAGGCTTTGTAAGGTGCATACTAAGCAATAATTTCTGTTGGGTATTTCATGCCCATAGTGGTAGCTCCTACTCTCTGGCTCTTAAAGCCCGGGTACAGCATGGTATTTTTCAAGTTCAAGATTCTTGAACTTGAAGTCGCCAAAGACAGGGTTACCCTCTTTGGTTTGAAACACAACTCGTGAGGCAGGGGAAAACGCTTGCGACGGTCGATCCTGATTGGTTTCTGAGCCCAGTCGCACAAGAGATCCGGCCATCGCTCACTAGGTTGCCCCAACCTCCTCTCACATATCTTGAAGACCAAGTAGTACTCCTAGCCCACTAGACTACTCGCGTAACTAGGAAACGCACGGCAGGGCGATAAAGGCTAGCTCTGGTAGAGGCGTTTTTTTCCATCCAATTCTACTCACTCACGCTGTCTTGCCAATAGCTGAGCGGCACAACTTCATGCCAAACACGCTATTACCGCACCATTTTCGCATGCCAGACACGGAACGTCCGTTCTAGCGCATGACACGCGCAGTGCTCGTAAATGGCATTTTCGAGTCGCCAGTCGCGATCCCGCTTACATTCCCTCCCGTCGATCGATCCCTACCATCACTGATCACTCGTCCCTCTTTACCTGCCGCCCTCGCTTCTTCTTTTGTCGTCGCTTTCGTTGCCCGTCGTCCCTCTCCATCACCCTCACGTCTCTTGCTGTCGGCCACGCTAGGTCCATACTAAGCCTTCCGCGTCACCCTCATCTCCCCTGGTCGTCGCCCTATTTCGCCTCGTCGACCGTAATTCCCCTTGAAAAAGCGTTCTTTTTAAAATCAATCTTGTTTTTTTTTTTCACATATACATATATATTTTAGTCGCCCGTAAATCCCCGCTTCGCCCGTAATTCCCCTGTCCCCCTCGTCTCTCTCGCTTTCCTTCGTCGCCCGCAATTCCCCACGCCGCCCGCGATTCCCCAGGATGCCGTCTCCCACGTTTCCCCCCGTCGCCCGGCTTTCCCACCACGCACCAATCGCCTTCCCCCCCACATATACCACCCATCTTCTTCTCCCCACACCACCTGCCTTCCCCCACGCACAGCACCGACCTTCCTCCCCCCGCACCACCCGCCTTCGCCCAACACCACACGCCCTCGTGTTCCTCCTCATACCCGCCCTCCTCCCCCCCACATACCCGTCCTCCTCCCCCCTACATACCCGCCCTCCTCCCCCCGACATACCCGCCCTCCTCCACCCCACATACACGGGACAGAGGAGGAGGGTGAGAGGGGGAGGAGGAGAGGGGGAGGGAGAGAGGGGGAGGGAGAGAGGGGGAGGGACAGAGGGACGGAGACAGTAGGGAGGGGACAGAGGGGGAGGGACCGAGTGGAAGGGATTGAGGGGGAGATCCAGAGAAGGAGAAAAGAGGTGGGGGTGGATAGAGGTGGGGAGGGTTTGCTTCCCTCACTACCCCTCCCAATCGCCCTCACTTCTTCTCCCCTCCTCTTCGCCTTCACTTCCTCTCCCCGTCGCCCTAACCTCCTTTCCCCGTCGACCTCACCTCCTCTCCCTCTGCCCTCCTTCCCCCCTCCCTCCGCCAGGCTTCCCCCCTCCCTGCGCCCTGCTTCCCCCCTCCTTCTGCCCTGCTTCCCCCTCCCTTCGCCAAGCTTCACCCCTCCCTTCGCCAAGCTTCCCCCCTCCCTTCGCCCTGCTTCCCCCCTCCCTCCACCCTGCTTCCCCCCTCCCTCCACCTTGCTTCCCCCCTCCCTCCACCCTGCTTCCCCCCTTCCTCTGCCTGCTTCCCCCCTCCCTCCTTCCTTCTCCCCTCCCACCTCCCTGCTTCCCCCCTCCTTCCTACCCGCTTCCCCCCTCCCTCCTCCCTGCTTTCCCCCTCCCACCGCCCTGCTTCCCCCTTCCCTCTGCCCAGCTTCCCCCCTCCCTATGCCCTGCTTCCCCTCTCCTTCCGCCCTGCTTCCCCCCTCCCTCCTCCCTGCTTTCCCCCTCCCACCGCCCTACTTCCCCCCTCCCTATGCCCTGCTTCCCCCCTCCCTCCGTTAAGCTTCCCCCCTCCCTTCGCCCTGCTTCCCCCCATCCCCTTCCCTGCTTCCCCCCATCCCGCTCCCTGCTTCCCCCCATCCCCTTCCCTGCTTCCCCCCATCCCGCTCCCTGCTTCCCCCCATCCCGCTCCCTGCTTTCCCCTATCCCGCTCCCTGCTTCCCCCCATCCCCTTCCCTGCTTCCCCCCATCCCCTTCCCTTCTCTACACAGTGCATAGCAACAGGCACGCGCATGCAGAAGTTCTTCGATGACTGGATCCCCTGGCACTAGTGATGAGCGTCACTCTCTCCCCACTCCCTCCCCCTCTGCTCCCCTCTTCCTCGTGGCAGGCCACCGAAGCACCGCATCCAGCAGATCTTCGAGTGGATCTGCCCCGAGGCTTGCTGTCGGAGCTGTGAGGCAGCCTCCTCCTGAAACTGTCTTCAGCCTCCCCTGCTGCCCAGCAGGATGCCGCGGAGCATTGATGCGGGAGGGGGCAGACCATGCTGGCAGAAATGATGGCGGCAATGCATGTCAGGTCTGCGCTGCTGTGGGTCGGGGGAGTGCAGAGTGGTGCAGAGACCAGCACGGCATGTCGATATGTGGCCGGCCGAGATCCTCATGAGTTTCTTGATATGCGTTTCTTGAAATTTCATTTTTTATTTAATTCACAATTTGCTTGCAATGCTTTTCTGCACTTAATCAGCACTTGAAATGTTGTGTTTTTCTGAAGTGAAGTCTAAAAAGCATCCAGATATTTTAGTAAATTAGAAATTGTTAAAATAGTGTTCAGTGTACTGCCTTACTCTCACTCGCGTGAGTTTCGCGTTACCCACGATTTCAACCCCAAGAGAAGCACCAGCAGTAGTGGTGGGGCTGGAGCAGTGCTCTGTCGCACACAGAGTCGTTCGGCCCTCCCATATCCTTGGAAACAGCTGTCGCATAGTGTCGTGGCGAAGGCTGTTTCACCCACCTCCTGAATTCGCTTTCGCCCCACACACATTTCCGAAATACACGATATTATTTTCGCCAGACTGTTTCAACCCCACATAACTTGAAAATTTACCATGCTGACCTCGGGCTTTAATCGCTTCTGTGCTTACACTGTGCCTTTCTCTTAGGGTTGACCACGTGGTCGCAGCATTTTGACACACGTCATTTGTCGCGTCTTTGGCACACGTCGATGTTTTGGCACACGTCGATGTTCTGCCACGCTGGGATGCATGTAGCTAACAGATCGAGAATCCGGATCTAACTCGAGCAATCGCTACGCACCACATGTACGTGTGCGAGCTCTCAGGACCCACACTTCAGTGGTGAGTCTGACTGACCAGGAAGGGGGCAGACGAGATGACACTTGTATTTCCGCAGTGAATGCCATTTCCACACCCAATTTACAAATTTGTTATCACTCCGGCTCTGCAGCGAATTGGCGATATCGCATAACAAAATTTCTCGTCGCCGCGCCACTACCCCAGCACCAAGCAGAGTCGTGTCGTGTGAGCGTGCTCCGTCCAGTTCAGAGTATGGTTCCTGGTCCCGGCAGCGCGTCTCTCGTGGGTCCTCTCTCTCCGTCGCCACTGTCGTCGCTAGCGTCGCTCTCGTCGCAATCTCTTTCCATGCGACACTACCGCTGGGCTCTACTCGCCATACCCCTCGCTCCCACTCTGATCCTCTCGGCTCCGCGCGCCCACGCCGTTATGGCTTCCGCCTCCGGTCCGTAAACGTCAACGTCAGCGGTTGCTGATCCGTCAAAGTTCGGCTACCGGTCGACGGCGGAAGATGTGACGGCGGGCGTCGATTTGAGCGGCAAAGTGGCAATCGTAATGGGTAAGAGCATCGATGATTCGGTTTCGCCGTATGCAGTAAACGGGAGGAAACGGGAGACAAATTGGAGAGGAACGGGGAGAAACGGGGAAAAGAGGGGGGAATTACGGGGGTGAGGGGAGAGAATGTGGATTAGAAATATCCTGAGTGTTTGTGTGGTACGGGAAAGGATAAAAGGGCACGGTAGAAGGGAGGACATGTGAGGGGACGGGGGGGGGAGGAGGGGGAGGTGGTGAGGAGTAGGGATGCTTTGATACCGCTGATGTGAGGCACGGGAGCAGCAAGTGCAGCGGCAGTATGAGCTATTCTCTCCCACTCTCCTAGCACCTTCCACCCAACGAGTCTTTACCACCCTTGCATTTCTTTCTCGTCTTCGCCTTTCTCAATCAAACTGATCTTTCTCATCCGCTCGTCCGCTCGTCCGCCCGTCTTCTCGTCCTCTCGTCCTTGCCAGTACTTCCACTCCCCTCTCTTTTCCACCCTAGTCTCTTCCCCGCGCCATTGTGAAAAAGCGTGTAAGACGCCTCAAAAGCTGTTTGTGCCATGTCTGAAAAAAATTTCAGTCCTCCACTCCAGCCTTCCTCCTCCCCCGCGCCCAAATTCATTCAGCACTCGCGAATTCCCCTTCCCGCGCGAACCTCGTCCTCGTGCCAATGTTCTCCCCACGCGCGCATGTCGCCCCTCTCTCTTTCCGCCGCGCTAATTTCTTCTTCCTCCCCCTCTCCCGACACCCTTCTGGCGCGAATTACCTCCCCCCAGGCGGCAGCAGCGGCATCGGCACGGAGACGGCGCGGGTGCTGGCGTTGCGAGGCGCGTCCGTGGTGCTCGCGGTGCGGAACACGGAGGCGGGGGAGGCCGCCAAAGCCGCCATCATCAAGGACATCGAGGGGCGGAGCGCAGCGGCGGCGGGGGTTCCGGCGGCGGTGCGCGAGCGCGTGAGCGTGATGCCGCTGGATTTGGCGTCGCTCAAGTCGGTGCGCGCGTTCGCCGCGGATTACTTGCGCCCTAACCGCCCGCTGCACCTGCTCATGTACGCGCGGAGATGGAAGGGGTGCGGGGGGGAGGGGAGGGGGCGAGGGAGGGGGAGGGGGTGAGTGGGTGAAGAAGGGGAGGGCAGGGGTGGAACGGGGTGGAGGGGCGGGAGGAGGGGAATGGGAGGAATAGGGGGAATGGGGTAAATGGAGGGGCATTGGGCTTCTATGATAACAGGTTTAGTTGAGCTTAAATGATCTGCTGTTGGTGCTGCCCCACTGCCATGCTGCCCCACTGCCATGCTGCCCCACTGCCATGCTGCCCCACTGCCATGCCGCCCCACTGCCATGCTGCCCCACTGCCATGCCGCCCCACTGCCATGCTGCTCCACTGCCATGCTGCTCCACTGCCATGCTGCTCCACTGCCATGCTGCTCCACTGCCATGCTGCTCCACTGCCATGTTGCTCCACTGCCATGTTGCTCCACTGCCATGCTGCTCCACTGCCATGCTGCTCCACTGCCATGCTGCTCCACTGCCATGCTGCTCCACTGGCATGCTGCTCCACTGCCATGCTGCCCCACTGCCATGCTGCTCCACTGCCATGCTGCTCCACTGCCATGCTGCTCCACTGCCATGCTGCTCCACTGCCATGCTGCCCCACTGACATGCTGCCCCACTGCCATGCTGCCCCACTGCCATGCTGCTCCACTGCCATGCTGCTCCACTGCCATGCTGCCCCACTGCCATGCTGCCCCGTGCCCCATCACAACACACTTCCCTCCTTCCCTCGCTCCCTCCCTCCCTGCTTCCCTGCCTACCTACCCATTATGCTAGTCATTCTACTGTTTCGCCTTATTTATTCCTCTCGTTCAGACCTTCCCCCTCTCCCCGAACCCACCCCACCGTCCCCTTCCCTTCGTCACTTCCTATGCAACAACCCCCCACTCGCCTGCCCAACCAATCCCACCACGACCCACCCAATCTCAACCAACCCCTCCCCATCCCACCCCACCCCGGGCAGCAACAATGCGGGCGTGATGATATGCCCGTTCATGCTCACTGCGGACGGCCATGAGAACCAGTTCGGCACCAATCACGCGGGTAAGTGCAGGGAGGCAACCACGTGGGTGAGTGCAGGGAGGCAACCACGTGGGTGAGTGTAGGGGAGTAGCGACTATGAGGGTGAGTGCAGGGGAGCAGCAATGACGTGGGTGAGGCAAGCAAGCAGATTACATGCGCACAGCATGGGTAGCGGGGTGGAGTGTGAGGGAAGAATGGGAGTGGTGGGAGTGAAGCAGAGTCTACCAGTTGGCTGTTCTCTTTCTAGGCTCGAGTGCATTTGTTGCACTCCTAAGCTCATGGAGCTCTCAGGCTGATCGCACCACACCTCCACTGCCTCCCTCTCCCCCTTTCTTCCGTCCCTCCGCCCCCCCTCCCCCTCTCTTCCCTTTCACCCTCTTCCCCCCTTCCCCTGCACACACCCCCCACCCAATTGCATCGCACGTCGTACCCCCTTTAGGCCACTTCCTGTTGACCAACCTGCTGCTGCCGAAGCTCAAGGAAACTGCCAAGCAGGAGGGCGCAGAGGCGCGCATCGTGATCGTGTCCTCCGCCGCGCACCAGTTCCCGTACCCGGGCGGCATCCGCTTTGACGCCATCAACGCCAAGGAGGGGTACGACTCGGTGAGGGCGTACGGGCAGTCCAAGCTCGCTAATATCCTGCACGCTCGGGAGCTCGCACGGCGGCTCAAGGTGCATGGCTGTGGGAGAGGAGGGTGTGTATGAAGGAGTGGGTATGTGGGTGTTGTGTGAGTGAGTGGGTGTGTGTGTGAGTGTAGTTGGGTGGGTGGGTGGGTATGTATGTGTGCGGATGTGTGCGTGAGAGTGTGCATTAGTGGGAGGGAAGGGAAGAAGCAGGCAGGGGAAACGCGCCCTAAAAGCACATTTCATGCTACATCTCAAATTCCTCACCAAAAATCTCTTCCTCTTCTTCCCCACTCTCCCTTATGATTTTTTTTTGTTTGTTTTGAAAACCTCAGTGCAGGTTTGACTGTAAATGCTCTGTACCCATGGGTGATTGATCCTTCAACAATGGAAAAACCCCCTGCTTCCCTCGCCAACACCCTCCATCACCCTCCCTCCTCCCCTCTCTCCCCTTCCCTTCTCTCCCTTGATCCATGCGAGCAGGAGGAGGGTGCAGGAGTGACAGTGAACGCGTTGCACCCGGGGGGTGATTGACACCAACCTCTCACGTCACATTGTGCCACCAGGGACCATCTGGCACACCCTCGGACGTACGTGGGGCGGTGGGCGGGTGTGCTGTGCGGGTGGGTGGGTAGGCGGGTGGGTGGGAAGGGCAGAGTGCGTTAGGGCATGCCACATGGGGTCTGCAGAACCGTTGGTTTGCTGAGGTCCAAGCAGTGTAGTCTGTGGACCAGGGTGAACCAGCTGTGAGCCAGATCTTGGACAATGCAAGTGCACTAGATAGTTACCATGTAACACAACTGGTCTGAGGCCTGGTTCGATTGGGTCGGAGCCATTTATACAGGGCCGCCATGGAAAATGGCAGGGGTTGATACTGGTCTGTTAGACCAGTCCGCGAAAGCAAGTGCGACGTGTGTCGAACTTGTTCCGCGGAGCCAATATCGCTTTGAGGAACGAGGCAAAGCCTTTCGTGCTACAGAGTGCCGTAAGCGACTGTCCGGTGTGTCTTCTACAAGGCACACCCTGGGACATAGTTGATGGGGTGGCCAGGTAATTAGGTGGTGTAGAAAGAGGGGGAAGGAGGGGCGTCTGAGGGGCTGATGGTTTGATGGAAGCTGTTTGGCACAAGCATGCTTTGTTCTTTTGCAGTAACTCCTGCTCGCTGCTTGCAGCCTGCTTCTGCGTCGGCTTGGCTGAGCACCCATTGTTGTCATACTACCACTCGTCCTGTGCTTGTGCCTGTCCACTGCCGCCCTGCCATGCTGTGCAACCAACCACCAGGGGGAGCGTACAGCCTGGTGTTCCAGTGGTTCATGGAGACCATTCCTCAGGTACCCTCCACCTCCACCTACTTTATACCTCGCCTCACTGCACTTTGCCGTACATTACCTTAGGGGAGTGGTTAAAGTAGCTCTTCACCGCACTGCACACACTCTATATTACTCTGCACTCTACTGACATGCCTCCAACCAACCCTGCTGCAAGAGCGATTTGACGTGATTGAAGAAGAGCTGCCTCTGCTTTCACCAACCCCTCACCCCTCCTCACCCTTCCTCACCCCTCCTCACCCCTACTCACCTCACCTCACCTCACCTCCCCTCACCTCACCTCACCTGACCTCACCTGACCTCACCACCGCCCTCTGTTACTGCTGCATGGTTGGGTGCCCGCACGCACCCATGCATGGTTGGGGGTGTGCGTACTTTCCCATGCATGGTTGTTCCAACTTATCCCCATGCTCATGTGCACACTCCCTGCAACAAAGCCCAGTGGAGCTACTTCTCATGCTCCCTCATCTTTCAACCTTTCCCCCCCGCCCATTCTCACTCTCACACACTCTCTCTCTCAAGCCACTCTCACATCGTGCCGCCTCGAGGCACACACCCTGTGCCTCGCTCCCCCCCCCCCCCCCCCCCCCCCCCCCCCCCCCCCTACACACTCCTTGCACCTCCACCTGACCGCCCCGTATCCTCCTCTCCCCACTCTCCTCTCCTCCCTTCTCTCAGGGTGCGGCCACTTCATGCTTCCTGGCGGCGCACCCCTCAGTGGCGGGTGCAAGTGGGGGCTACTACGCAGACGCGCGGGCAGCCGAGGGCAAGGCGACGGTTTTGAGCAAGGACATGGAGCAGGCTGGGAAGCTGTGGGAGCTGAGTGAGCAGATGGCGAACAAGGAGTAATGCTGAATGGTGTGTTTTTAATACGCTTCAAAAATGGTTCTTGAGGCGTCTAGAAGAGCAAGGGGCGGTTCTGAGCAAGGACAAGGGGCTGGCTGGGAAGCTGTGGGAGCTCAGTGAGCAGATGGCCAGCAAGGAGTGATGCTGATTGGTGTGGTGTGAGGGAGAGAGTGGAAGAGATTGGGAGAGAGTGAGAGAGTGGAGGAGTGAGGGTGAGAGTGTGAGTCGTGTGCAGTGCAGGTGTGGGTGAATGGCTTGGTAGGCTTGGTTCTTGCGCAGGCTGGGTTACATTTCAGGGTGCAGGCAGCTCGATGGGCAGAAGCTTGTTGCATTGTATATCACAGCAAGCATGTGCAGCTAAGAAGTGGAGAAGCTGTGGGAGTGAGCAATGCCGGACGTAGGTCGGATGACTGGGAGAGCAAGGATGATGTATGCGGGTGTATAGTTGATGGTGGTTATGCGAATGTGTTACAACGTGTTGTTACAACCCCTTGTCAGGCAAACCTGTTGTCACCTTCGCGTTTAACCGTACAGTATAGCAAGTTGTCTACACTGAAACATACCGGTATTTAACCACACAACACTGTCAAGATGTGTCTGAGGGCATGTTCTTATTTATCAAGTCAACCTTTTATCAGGCTCGCATCATAGCACACTGAAATTTCCCTAAACCCAAATACCTTTGCGTCAAATTTTACCAGGCAAAAATGCGGAGCCTATACGAGGTATCTCTGATACGGTAAGGAGCCTTAGGAACATGCCCTAATAGTGGCGTACAAACATATCTTTACAGATGAGTGGAGGTTACAGACCAGGCTTCTCAGAATGTGAACAATGGAAGAATGATTAGTAACGGTTGTGATACAAATGCCTATTCGAAACTAGAGGCAGATTGCCTAGCACGGCTGGTATTGAAGTAGGACACCCTCATAGAATGTGCCTAACTCACGGCTGACGCACGAAACACATGACAAGTTGACATCTGCCGACGCTTTGATAAGGTATCAAGGCCAAGCTCTTGATCGTGTCGACGCCGACGTCCTCGGGCTTCACGTGCTGTTCGGCGTCTACTTTGTCGTAGAAGCAATCGTCTGCCGTCGTGGAACAATCGTCCGCCGAGTCACGACCTCCGTCGAGATCGACATCGGCTTCGTCGAGCAGGGGCGAAAGTCTGTGCAGAGAACGCAGCCAGTGTACGGTAGCGTGCTTGACCGAGCACCTCGCCCGCACACGACACGAGCAGCATCTCGTCGCCCGCGTCCTGCAGTCTCACGCCGCTGTCCTTCAGATGGGCGACCAAGAGCAGCTTTGCCTGCACTCCCGGGACATAGAGCGCATCGAGGATGAGGACCTGTTTCCCGGCCTCCATGTGTAGAGTGACGGTGCCACGGCCTTCGACGATCTCTAGTGCCCCGTTGAAGCCACGCACGTGGCGCACGTCGCCCCTAGGCTGCATGACGACAAGGCTGTTAGAGGTCCACTTGTGATCCCCGATTGATCCTAGGATAGGGTTACAGGCAGGTTGGCCCGGGGGGTTATGGGTGCACTCACCCGTTACATAAACAAGCCCTTTTATCCCAGTGGTTAGTGGCTGGGATTCTGACATGGTATCAGGGCGAAGGTCTTGGGTTCGAATTCCAGTGTGTGCACTCCAGGCATCCCAGTGCGGGGGGGTGTCAGATGTCCACTGGTGATCCCCGATTGATCCTAGGGAAAGGTTACAGGCAGGTTGGCCTGGGGGGTAATGGGTGCACTCACCCGCTACACAAACAAATCCTTTTATCCCAGCGGTTAGTGTCTGGGATTCTGACAAAGGCCTCCTTTGTCACCATCAGATGGTGAGAGTAGCCACCAGCACCACCATCAAGTTCGCCTGCATAGCGGCCGCGATCGCCTTGAAGTCCTCGCCAATCTCCGATGCCGACGATACGGTCGACTCCACAACGTCGACCATCGAGCACAACGCCTCTGTCAACCGCAATTGTGCGTTGGCCCGTCCTCGCTTGGGTGGAGCCGACTTCTTAGTCGGGCGTGCAGAGAGTGCAACCTACCAACTGCAGTGGGCGACATTGACATGAGCGCGCAGGTCGACATGTCGGTCAACCTGCACTGGGCCACTACGAAGCCGCCGACGACGGGCGCTAACGGCCGACTTCAACTTAGGGATGTCGCCGACCTTGCGAAGTCGGCGGCCCAGATCCGTTGTGGTCGACGGGAGGAGGTCGACAAGGGAGGGAGTCGACCTGGGACGATGCCGGCCTGGTGGCGTCGACCTGGTTGCTCGGTCGATCAAGTTACCCGGGCGACGTGGATCTGCGGAGCTGTGCAATCGTCGCCCAGGTGGTTCAGGCAAAGATGACCTCGGACGTGGTATCCCAAGGTCGACGTGGCGGATCAGGTGCAGTCGTGCGCACGTGGTCGGCTTAGCGTCTGCGTTGTGCACGTGATAGGGCACAAAACGCCAACCAGCTGCGAGCACCAGCGAAGCGGGTGCGCTGCTGTCATGCAGGTGCAACTCTGTGCAGCCGCCCTGCAACAGCGTTGGCACTCCGTTGACTTGCAACGCTGGCAGGTTGCCACCTCGCACTGCTGGAGTGCGGTCGACCTTGCTGTGCTGGAGGTCGACCTGCATGCTTGCTTGCATCTGATGTAGTCTGTATTGCTTTGCCTTGTTCAACCATTGTTGTCAATGTTTACTAGTGAAACTTTTGCCATTTTTTTCCCATGAATGGGCAAATAGAGAGAACACGAGCAAACATTAAGGAACGCTACGATCACCACTGCAAGCGTGCCTATCCCATGGTCGAGCTCCCGTTGTATGGGTTATCTCTGCAGCCTCGCCATCGCCTCGACCTTTGCTGCAGGAGGAGGAGTCGGCGTCTTTCGCCGACGACGTCGACTTCGACGCCTACTTCTCCTTTCGCGACTGGCTGTCCCGACATCAACGACCACCATCGTACTTCATGTGGCTTCCGTTGTCCTCATCCTCGGACTTTTCGCAATCGGGACACTCGAAAAAGAGGTGGTCGGGTTGCCATAGATCCAGCACTCGCGTCGTCGACCATCGCTTCTTCGACCGATGTCCCATGCCAAATTCGACCGGTCGGCGACGGACGCCGACGTTTCACCTCCGCTACCATCTCCGCTCGACGTCCCTCTTGCCAATTTTCCCCGTGAACTAGCAAGTAGTGTGTGCACAAAGAAAACGACTAAGGACTAACGAACGCAGAGATCACACGAGCACACGTGCCTAGCCCGTAGCCTAGCTCCCGTTGCTGCAGTTATCTCCGCATGGTGCGGTGAGCGTGGACGGCACACGACTTACCTTTCAGTCAGGTCGACGTAGACACCACTTACCTATTTCGTGGTTGCAGGCCGGCAACTGTGCGGTAGTCACTATGGTAGGAGCCGTAGGTGACGCGGGGGTGGTGGACACCCTAGAGGCACGGTTGGAGAACGCGAGGAGGAAGCACGAGGCCAACGAGTACGGCGACTTGCCCTGGCCGGTCGTCGAGGCTGGACTCCGCTCCATGTGGGTGACGTAGCACCCGTCTCGACCTGCCTCTCCTCGTCCTGTGAACAACGAAGGCGGCGTCGACGTGGGCGTCAACGCCGGTGGAGGTCAGGTCGGCAGCAGTGCTGGAGGCACGTCGAGGCAGAGAGGTGTGATACACGCCGGTGAAGCCGGCGGCGTTCACGCGCAAGGGATGCAGTTGTCGGCGGCTGCAGGCTCTTCGCGGGGTGACGTCGGAGGTCGACGGAGTGGGCTGTCGCCGATGTCGGCGTCCCAAGTGATGGCAGGTGGGATTGCGCCAAGCTACGGCTACTTCAAGTTCACCCCGGACAGGATCTCAGTCACCCCCCCACTGGTCGGTCGACCCGACATTCTCACCTGGAAGGAAGCTATCGAGCCCCAGTTGGAGATGGCCGGGCTGATCGGCTTCGCCCGAGGGACCGTGGCGACGCCGGGGGAGCACCACCCCAACTTACGGGCGGAGTTTTGCGCCGTGCAGCTGTTGACCTTCACGGTCATCTCGCGGTGCTGCTCGCCGGGCGTGCAGATCGCCTTGAAGTGGTGCCGGGAGTACATCGACGCCGGCCACCGGGCGTGGCACTTCATTGAGTCGACGTACCAGGTCACCGACGACCTGTTCATTGCCCAGCTGGAGGGACAGCTGACGCACCTGCGTATGGGTGACGAGGAGACAGCGACCGACTTCTGCAACCGGGCACGGCGAATTCTCGCCACCATCAGGATGGCCGGCGCGCAGTACTCTACGGCGTCGTACATCACCCATGTCATGCAGGGTCTCTCTAGCAGCTACAGCCTGCTGAAGCGGCTGTCTATGGCACCGAGCACAAGGGCGACGCTCAACGAGGACAACCTGACCTCGTATATCCTGCAGGACGAGGCGATGCAGGAGGCTGAGCGATCGCGAGAGCTCTTGGCGCAGGCGAACTAGGTTACCTCAGCGAAGCAAGGAGGCCGACTGGGGCAGCACGCGCAGTCTGGTGGCGGCGGGAGTAGTGGCTGGAAGCCGGCCAAGGAGGTCGACAAGAGGAAGTCGACCAAGGACAGCGGTCGGGGAGGAGGAGGTCGACGTTGGGAATGCTGGCTGTGCGGCGATCCCGACCATCTCTCCTTCGAGTGTCCCAACCGCAGCGACTCCGATGATGACGATGCTAAGGGAGGCCGTGGGAGGTCTGGCACCCGCCGTCCTCGTCGTGAAAGAAACCAGCCGCGCAAGGAGAAGCAGTCGACAAAGACATCAACTTCGGCGAAGGACGCCGACTCCCCTGCTGGCGGCAAGGGGCGAGACGACAAGACGGCGTCGTGCTCGCTGGTCGGCGTCGTGGAGCCGACCATCTCTTTGGCGCCGGAGGCCGGAGAGGACTTTAGGCGGTGGCGGCAGCTGTGCAGGCGAACCCGGCGGTGGTCCTGCTCGACAGCGGGTGCTCCCACCACCTGATGGGGACGAAGGAAGCCTTCGTCGACTTGCAGC